CAAAAGGGGGCTGCGAGCGGTTGGAAAAAACACGGGAGCTCCCGTGGATGGACGATTCGCGCGGCGACAACACCTGGCCTTTCTCTTATCAAAAATGGACAGAACGCGCCCGACTAAACATCGTCGCATCTAGTCCAACAACGAGTCCGCCTCGCCTATTCACACAATGCTCTCCCTGTTTCTTCGTGTGTGGCACGAAAAAGTGTCCTTACTTTACCTTTTAAACCTGTACAAAATTGCAATTTATGGATAAAAAGAAGGAAAGGTGTGTCTCTCTAAAAGTAGCCCTATCTTCTTGTATTTTTTCTCGATCGATTTTGAAGACGAAATGTGTCGGTACATGCAACTGCGAAGACTCTTAAATGTTATCGTCGATTTTTATCTTATCTGAATATATTATCTCCATCAAAGAGAGTAGTCGATCGTGAGCTACTATACGAGTTTCATCGAACAGAGGAGGAAGAAGAGGAGGAAGATGAGGATTCGAGAGGTAGAGATAAAGAGGCCATTCAATCTCTGAAAATCTCGTCGTAAAGCGCATCGACATGTATGTGTACATTTGTACATATATATATATCTCTCTCTCGCGTTTGCTCGTATTGCGGATAACAGAGGCTGTTTTTGTGGGGGTCTGAAAGATAAGGACAACCTCTGGCCTCGACGTACAAAACCTCTTCCGCTCGTCCATGCGACTCTGTGAAACTCGCTCTATCGGCTACCGTTCAGGAGCGGCATCGGCGATTTTCGCCTCATATGTATATACGTATATATATATATATACATATATATATATATATATATATATATATATATATATATATCGGACATGAAACGCGCGATGGCGAGCTGTACCTCGATAATTCGTAAACGCATCGTATCGCACGCACCTTGTAACGATGAACGAAATGTCGGCTTGTTGAAAATGCAGATGGAAGTATGTGTATATACGTGTATATACGAGTTATTTATACATACGCATACACATACATGTTACCTGTAATTGTTTTAGATACTATATTAAATACTATATATTTTTCTTTATATATATGCAATTATTATATAATTGAAAATAAGATTATTACGTATAATATTCTTTATATATAAGCAAGCATTTAAAAAATGGAATATTTAACATAGTTGAAGATAACAGAGATCCCTCGTGAAATATTAATATAAAGGGTGACCTCTTGGGCGCGTCTCTTTTTACGGGATATCTTTACGGGATCTTATGGAAAGAAACATGTGAGAGAGACAAAAAGATGAGAACTTTGATCTATATTTTTTATTTTTTTAATGTAAAACGCGAGATATATAGTAATGTCATCGTTATAAATGAAATACAATGTCCGCGCGCGCACGAGACGTTAACAATCGTTGCGCGCGAATCGATGCCGCGCGTTTTTTTCTGTCGGTGCTGACCGTCAATTTGTTCGTTTTACTCTTGCAACAATGGGGAAAGGTTCTTCTCTCGCTGTCGTCGGCTCGACGAGTGTATTTTCTTCGTCGAATGATTAATCGGGGTCGCGGCTCTCTGCATCTCCTCGCCGCAGATAATATGGGGCGGCTAATTCTTTTCCATTCTCTTTAAAAGTCTTTTATTCCAAGTTTTGCACTCGAATAACACTCGTACAATTGTTTTACATATCGTGGCTACATTCAGCTTTTCATTTTATATATTTAGCATTCTTGTGAAATGAAATCTTGAAATAAGATCGTTGAAACGTAATATAACATTTTTTATCGTTCTTGGAAAATTAATTCGCTCTACGATACATATATTTAAAGTAACAAGTACATTGATACAAGTAAAATCGCATTAATTAAATGGAAATTTCGCAATTGCTCGTTATTATTTTAGGTGTTTAAAGAATAATTTTTGGCTAAAGTATCATCGTGTAATGATATTTTTGCCAGATCACCCTATATATTAATACGTACATTCTATTATTCCGCAGCAGACTGAGTCGAGGCGAATTGTACTTGGACCTTTGTGCAAAAATATGTTTTTTAATAGAATTCGTCGAGCGGCAACGACCAGATAATCCAACGAGCCTGACCTTTCCAATTTGATTAGGTAATGTCAATAAGGTCAATTCAATGTTAAACGGTCGATATACCGTCCTCGAGGATGATACTGCGGTTTAAATAAGAACTTGGCTAAATCGATTCGAATCAACTCCTCGAGTTGAGGATATTTTATTATTATCCTGATTTTTAAAAAATCATGATTCCTTTTTAAAAATATATACTAATTATAAATCGTATACCATAATATAATTACACTGAAAGATTTCAAATAATATGAAAACTTTCATTAAAAAGGGACGAGAGTGTAAATGAATGAATTAAATAGACGCAACATTTTTGGCGAGAGAGATTTTAATCTTTCTTTCCAATTATTTTTCAGAGGAAAGGAAATAATGAGAGTCTCGCATAAAAATAATAGTTGTCGGAATCTGCTTTGAAATGGACCAAATACTCGTTGATTCACAAAACACAACTTCATTCATTTAGATCAGTTTTTAAAGAGGAGTTGGACCGATTAGCCGCATCTAATGCATTTCGAATGCATTAGGTTTGTTATATTTGCATTTTGACATTACGCAGAGCTCTTTTAGAATATAATGAGAATATAGAATTGAAAGTTTTATCTCGATGAATTTTTTTGTAAAGTCACTATACAATTTTTACAATCGTTATAAAAAATGAAATTAATATGAGGTAGATTTACGCGCGATTTTTAGATTAGATTGTATTGTACAGGGCGAATCGTTATTTTAATCGATGATTGATTTTATTTTTCTCAAGTGGCTAAAAGCGCTTTGCGCGATCAAATTCACGAATCTCTGAAATGAATGACAGATTCGTAAACTTTCGGCACAGCTGGTGATCCGTCCGATTCCTCCTCGAGTAGAGAAATACATATATATTAGTCATGGTTATATGATATCTGGACTTTGTCGGATGAGCGTATAGTCACGAGTTAAGATCAGATCGGTTTTGCGGGGCGCACGTGATATTCTTGAGGTTTCGTGTGCCGCACGTTGCACGCGACACACCGATTACTCAGCGGCCGCGTGGACAATCGAGTTACGCATCAAATCGTCACGATCGGCCCATATTGCATCGCTCGAGGTCAGACAATGGTCTATTGAAAGCGCGAGAGCGCGTACGTGCGGTGCGTCGCATTTCGCTCTAATTAATCGAGAGACATTGGAAACTTTGAACGTACATTTCAAAATTTCGGATTGTAGAGATGAGAGGAGAAATTTTTGAAAGCCGTACACGGACGTAAACCAAGTATCGGTGATCAAATTGAAGACTAGAATCACGCTCTTTGATCCTGCTATGATTCCCTCGATGATTAAAAATATTTTTATCTTTGTGAGAAGGAGGAAGAACAGCTCGCGAAACGGGCACTTCTCTGCCTTTTATATATATATATATATATATATATATATATATATATATCTTTTGCTCCTTCGCACACGCAGTAATGTCCGTCCGTGCGTGAATGCGTGCGAGTGCGTGCGCCACCATTACGACGCGTAGATAAGAGCGTATGTAGTTATTTTTGTATCGCACCGGCTAGCAACAGTTTCTCGGTGTCATCGTGCTTCTGTCTTCGTGTGTCCAACGCTTCTGTTGAATCTCGATCATTCCCAATCATTTTTTATTGCGCGATCGTGGTCATTCGATTCGAAAGAAGATGCAACCAAACTTGCACCGAAACAATCCAGTCAGTTTTCGACGACACATCGAACCACATCTAACGTTTATCATTAAGTAATATTAAACGATTAATTGATATCGCACTTTGTACGCGCAATATAATGTCCTGCAATTCGGAAAACTATTTCAAGAAACAAATTCTCTAATTGATTTAAAACAAACTTTTTCTTGGAAGAGATATCGAGGAATTTTCCTCAAAATTTTTAATATTGACGTTATTTTTAGAAAAAAAAATCACAATATAATAAATTATACATTTAAACTCGCCCGTCACACGCTGAGAGTAAAAAAAAGAAGATTAATATATTTTTTAAAGCGGATTTCGAAATATTTGATAGCGCGGATAAGATGAATGAAACGTTTCTCTAAAGCATTTCGTTTATAATTGTACGATTTAGGCTATCATATACAGAGATATACAGAGATATTTTGTATACGGTATGCGAAATTATGTATACGGATCTACATTTCGAGATCTTGCAACATGATTACGTAATTTATTGTCGATATTGTAGACACTTGTTTACAAAGCAGACAATTTATGACCCAGATATATAATACAAAGTGATAACACGATACGCTCTCATCTTGATCGCATCTTTTAATCGGAATAACATGTAAAAATATACATCGGCAAACTCTTAATTCTATAGTTGCGAGTATATAATTTAGAGCACTAGAGAAATTTGCACACATCATCCGTAAATTTTTTTTTTATAAATTCGAAGGATAGGAAACTTTAATTTACACATATCGAGTATTCGTATTACTTTTGAAAGGTTTGACAAATGGCAATAGAGAGAAAGAGAGAGAGATGGCCAATTTTGTTATATCATCATTGAGGGTCGCCTCGATCAAACTCCATTAACTTCAATCGTTGTTCAAAGGGTCGCGCCAATATGACAACAAAATAATTCAGTGTGACCAACTGTATTTCTGGCAAATATAATCGTCCTAACCAAATCTTTTGTTACATATATCGTCGGAAATACAATTGGCCACACTGAATTATTTTGTCAGGTTGGCAATCCTTCAATCAACGATCTAATTAATCGAAGCGGCCCTTTTTCATTACGACGTAGAAAAAACAAAAAAGCTTGAATTAAACTCTGAGGTCATCCCTATTGTCTCTCGTTTTGTTTTTTAAGGTAGGTAGAACGGATTTTAGACCGTCGTGCGTAGCTCAAGGGCTCGGGGTTTTTCGTTCCAAGAACATACACATTCGTAACATATCGATCGACATAGTCAACAAGTCCGTTTGTGCGTAGTGCTGATCGAGTATGTCGGGGCCGCGGAAGCAGCGTCCACCAGGGAGGCAGTCGTCAAGCAGGAGGAGGGGAAGGCGACGATGGCGATGGCGATAAAGAGCGAAGACGTCATCGAGAACCAAGTCGAGCGGCAGCAGGAGCAGGAGCAGGAGCAGCAGCAACAGCAGCAACAGCTGGCGACGTACGTGGCGAACGAGGAGACCGGAGAGGAGAGTGGTGTGGGCGTGCTGGAGGCGGGACAGCCGGAAATGGAAAATGGCGTCATGGTACAGCCAACCGGTGCCGAAGCGGTCGCTATTGCGGTCGCCGCCGTCGCTGCCGTCGCCAACGATGCTCGCGCCGACGAGGATCCCAACGCCACTTACACCCTCCACGAGCTGGGCTATCATCCCGCGCACATAATCCACGAGAGGTGAGCGAGCCAGGGCGAGTGTCCCGATATCGCGACGACGGACGTCGTCATTTCATCGTTGCCGGCTTCTTTGTTTTTATTATCGTGTGTTACGCACCCCGGTAATATCTCGCGGAACAACGACTTTTTGTACAGTTTGTGGTATTTAAATTTGCGGGGGGTTAACGTCGATATTATATGATTTCGAGTAGGATCGTGCAAACAAAAAGTCGCCGCGTGTTTTATAATGAAAATTGGAAACGTTTATTCGTTTATCATATATTATATCTCGCACAAATCTATTTATTTTTATTAATCGAGATCGAGAAATATTATCATTCGTCTTATTTATCGATGAATGAAACGAGTCTGTCGCTCGCGAAATTTCATCGTGCATTATAATTTAAAAAATATCCCTTCTATTTCTTTTTAACCCTCAAAGTTTCGGGGGCGGCGATATGAGAGAAGAGCAGCAACAGGTTTCGCAGCCGCCCCACCAAACACACCACCACCGTCAACAGCAGCAGCAGCAGCAGCAGCAGCAGCAGTACGTTCAGCTCGGGGCGAGAGAGGTCCCGATTCCCGAGGGAGGGGATAACCGACACCCGTCGGAGGTCTCTGTCGCGTCGGAAGGACGCCGCGCCGGCAGTCACATGCCTCACTCCACGATGCATCGTTACGGTACCGAAACACTCTCCCCAACGACGACGGACCATCACCATCAGCATCATCATCATCATCATCAACAACAACAACAACAACAACAACAACAACAACAACAACAACAACAGCAGCAGCAACAGTCGCATCACCATCTGTCCGAGGTGCACCAGCACGTCGTCGCTCTATCGTCCGCGCACCGTCATCTAGAGGATCCGCAACAACACCAGCATCATCAGGAGACGGACGAGGACGTGGACCGAGGAGTGAGCGGCATCACCGCTGCCATGAGGGGCGCGCGGGGCGATTATCTGGGTGTACTCTTTACGAATCTCACCTCGGGCGTCGCGTCGAGCAACAGTGGCAGCAACCATCACCATCACCACCTGCAGGACGTGTTGTCCGACGAGTCGTATTTGCAACATCAGATTCGCACCGGTGCCCCGCCGACCAGCAGCGCTGGCGGCAGCGTCGGTGGTGGAGGCTCGCCGTCGGTGAGGACCGTCGGTGGTTCCCCGACCTCCAGTCACAGTCCGCACGACGATCAGGGCCTGTCGTCGCCGCATCGACAGGCCCAGGAAGCCGGTTATAGCCCCAGCGACCAGGGAAGACTGCAGTCCTTCACGCATCTCACGGCCATGCAACCACCGGTACAGACCAATCACGGGCTGCAGGAGGCCGAGCGCGTGTCCGATCAGCTGTACATGGACTCGATTTACGCGCATCACGCGACCGCCGGTACCCCGCATCATCATCAGGACCAGCACGACCAGGGCCCCCCTACCCCGCATTCGCCTAGTCCGCTTTCCAGGTTAGTCCTTATCGTTATCGTTGTCGCGCGTCACAGACGGATGTGTCAGGTGCGAACGAATTGATCGTCCGGCTCCAGACTTGTTGTAGAAAAATCTCCTCGTCTCTAGGCGAAACATTTTTCTCGGACGAGTTAGTTGGAATCGAGAGTGAATAAGAGAGTGCTGGACGCGATATTATTATTCCAAGACGACAACAGATTGATAGCGATGTAACGTCAAATTGTATTATTGCGCGTAGCATCGTTCGTCGACAATTGTTTTTCTACGATATCCGCGACTATTTCTCGCGAATAATAGCTTCGTTTGAAATTTACGATTTACCGGGAATCGAGCCGCTAGACGTAATACGATATATAATATAAAGTATGTGTCACATCTCCTATCTCGTGTAGAAAATAAAACTTTATTAAAGTAATAATAGATTCCGATCGCTTTCAAATGCGATGAAAGGAAATGATCTCGTCGCCACAAGTCCGACCGATGAATAATATAATTACTTAATTAATAATTAATGGGAGCAAGAGACTCTCCCGATTAGTTTATCCACGCGCGCTCGCGCGATTTAAATTTTAACTTGGAAAAATAATCCGTCTCGAAGCGCGGGATGATGAAACCGCTGCGTCCAAACGTGCGCGATCTTTATCACGCTTGCGCAAAAATATTTACTCGCGGGCTTAAGGGCTGTTCCGTCCTCGCAAAGGGCTGTGTGCGTAGGCGATACAAGGCCGAAACAAAGCGCGGCCGTCTGTGGAGGGCTACGATGACGTTCCTCCTATGCTAACAGTTGGATGAAAGCGAAGGTTGTCCCCACTCTCTCGCCGACGTGTTTGTTGATTTATCTCGGGCACGAGCCTTCCAATTTAGGTATACTCCAGGACCTAAGATGTGTATCGTATATGTATGTGTAGAGTCGTCTCTATTACCGCTCCGATGCAGTTTGTTTCGATCGTTTGTCGTCGATTAGCTTGTCGGAATTTTTAGCTCTCTCTTTCCTTTTCCTTATTAATAGGAAAATTTTTTTCGAGTATTAATTTGTTTGTTAAAAAGTTTCACGCGACGTTTAATTACACAATTTTTCTTCTCTAATAATAATAATAAGTAGATTCCAAGTTTTTTTTAAACGCAAATTTCTTTAAATACCGAGAGAAGTGCATCGAGATTAGTAACAAGAGTAAGGAATGATTTTTCGCTCGAATTTTGCGCTTTTCTTCGTGTATGACCGACAATGAGGGTTCGTTCACCGATCAAAGTGATCTACGGATCGCATTGTTTGCCATCTTCCGATTCGGGGAAGGGGGAGGTTACGAGAGATCGATCGCATCGTGCGTCATGGAATTCAAGCTTTCGTGTTGATTCGTTCGATCGACGCACACAATGACCGCTAGATTTATCTTTATTGCACCGACAGAGTAAATTGGCAAGGGAATCGAGGGATGAAAAACGCACCTTTGGCAAATACAAAGTTTGCGCGGTATCGTTTCGCGAGACGGAGAAGCAAAAAATTAATCCCGGCGCAAGGTATAAATATAAAATTGATGTACGATCGATCGATAATTGTTGACGATTCGCGGTAGTTGCGTTTTATCGCAATCCCGCCATTTATTTCCTCGCGATCGCAATACAGTCAGTCTTATCTGCTCTGAATCTGCATCCGATAAGGATTTATTGACCGATCGATGCGATTGACTGATAGAGATTTCCATCGGTTGTCACTCCGCAATTCCACGAATAGAGATCGGTCGGTTGACCGCGCTCACTTTCATCACCGCGAATGTAATCGAGACGGAAAAAGATAAAATGGGAGCGAGAGAGAGAGAGAGAGAGAGAGAGAGAGAGAGAGAGAGAGAGAGAGAGAGAGAGAAGAGGCTACATTTAAGAGTTTCGCGCTCGTCGATTCACTCACGCACTGTACACGTGTTACAGGCCACGACCTTCCAAATTTGATATCAAAGTTCGAGTCCAGATCGCGCGCGATTCGCTCCTTTTAACATTATTTGCTCCTTTTTGCGACCGATGCGAGAGATTGCGCAGAGAAATTGACCGTTTCTATTACGCAATCGTATATATATATATATATATATATATATATATATATATATATATATATGTGTACATATATGTGGGGGAAGGATGCACACTTGTGACATATAAATTTACTTTAAGCATACATTCATCGATTATTAATTATTATTAGGCATCAATCTTTTGCTGATTGCAATAGTTTGTAACGTAATAACGTAATAAAAAGAAAAAAAATGTAAGCTCCATTTCTCTCTCTCTCTCTCATCAGTTGCAGACAGATTCCGGATCATAAAATCTTACGAAAAAATTTATAATAAATGTTATAATCGTGTCTTAGTTTATTAAATTAAATGTCGGTTTTCAAAATATCAATTTAAATCATCATTTATACAGTTCTAATACGAAGAAAGAAATTCGAGAACGAACGAATCATTAATAGCGACGCAAAGTTTGTTGTGCGTAGATGATTTGAGAGAGTTTATAATTCATAAATACATCCACATCGCGTTCTACGAAACGCATAAAATAAAACCCTTTGTATTAAATCGCCTAAAGGTAGTCATACAATTTATTTATTTTCATAACATTATATTATTCTCTTATATCTGTGTAATTTTATCGCGATGTATAAACGATGATGAGAGAATCTTTTCTTAAAATTTGAACATTTGAACGAGTGTAAAATGTATTCCGTAAAACATTTCGTATTACGTCTGCAATGTCTCGCTTAAAACAATGACAAATACACGATTCGTGCGACACGCGTGCAATATACGCAGCTGTCTCTACATCTGAAGGTGATTCCAGCATTTGTTTTCCCTCGCCTATGTCCACGTGCGGTCGTCTTTCGATGCCGGCGGAAGTGGCACGTGGTAGATTCCACTTGAAACGAAGCGACTGCTGTCATTCGGGATAATTCATGTCCGATTTTATTTTCTGGAAGGTCATTTATTTTCAGATTTATTCAATCGTACATGTCATTAATTATTCAAATCGAAATTATTAGGCCATTCGAGGATAATCTTAATTTACAGATGTAACGTATTTAAATTTACTATTTATGTTGTACGCAAAGCAAAAAGATTGGGACGACATAAAAAGACAACAAGTCGGTATTTCTGAGAAAATGGAAAAAGGTTTTCGCATGATTCACGTCGATCGAAGAATTTCCCGACCTGTAGACGACGACGAGAGAGAGAGAGAGAGAGAGAGAAAGTCTCCCCCCCGTCGTCGTCGCTCTCTACGCGTGGCGTCGCGGCGGCGAGGCAGGACAAAAGCGAGCGTTCGTTCGCTAAACGAGGCGTAATCGGCGGAGAAGCTTCGGATAGTGGGGACGTCTCGAGTGGTCGATCACGTTGGTGGGGATGCCGCGAACAGGCGCGGTCGGGGACGACCACGACGACGACGACGACGACGATGACGATGACGATGACGATGTCGGGGCCGGAGAGAAATGCGATCGCCGGCGCGATGAATCTCCGATAAGTGGCGGCGCGAGGGGAGAGGCGCGCTAAAAATAATACGAGTGGGGATAATTGTCCGCCGTCGGCAGGAGAGCCCCCCCACGCTCCGTGGAGAGGAGAGGGAAAGAGGGGGAAAATCCTGACCACCTTCGAGCGAGGTCCTCCGACTCCTCCGGCCTCGGCTCGACGCTCGACGCTCGACGCTCGACTCGACGTTTCGTGCACGCTGTTAGATTATATCCCGCTCAGTTCTTGTCTGCCCGGTGACAGATACGGGGCTCCCCGGGTGCCTTCTTTATATCCTTCGCCTTTTTTTCTCTTCTTCTCTTTTCCTCCTCGACATCTCTATTACTTCGCGACGGAGCCGAGGACGAGCCTGAGGGGCAGACTGGAAGAGACGCGCGAGGAAAGGAGATACAAATCGAAGCATATCGACCTTTGGCCGGTCGGTCGCGCCCGCCAACATGCAGTGAGTCTTCTCTTCTAACGACAAAAATTCCTAACGAAAAACCTCCCGACAGTTTATAACACGCGCGCTTCCATCTCGTGACGCGACATTTCCATATCTGAACGACGTTCCGTTATGGGCTGTTTATTTTTTTATGTTTTAACGTGACGCGTGGAATTGGCTGAATCTTGATCAAACAGGGTCATTACGCGGATTTTGAATTAAACTCGAGATTATAATCGCTACGTTGTAACAAAATTATTACGCGTCACTATATATATGTATATATATCTATTGGTCGATATTTTAACATGCGTTTGTTTATTTCGTTACACGCTCTTCCTAATACTACTACGTCTAACATTATTATGTAATATTATTTTATTAAAGTTATCGCATGTATAACGATTTCTTTATTATGCAAAGATAAATATCTTAGACAAATAGATGTTGCTTGAAAAAGACGTAAATTTATGTAAAATATTACTTTTTATTTTATTTCTCGCTCTTTGCGTAGATCGCATTACAACAATTTGCTATTTATTTTTGTCCGTTAGTAATCTCGCATACATATACGCTTAATCAGTTTGCCGCTTTAGTTGCATTCTTTCTTTTTGGCTCCATCGATTGAATTTACTTTTCTCAGAAACCCTCGCGCGTTTTATCGCAATCTTAAAATAAAATAAAGCACGAATCGATGATAATTGGCAGCTTGCAGCCAAATAAGCGCGAAGCGAAAGATATCGTTATTTTACAACAACTCCGATATTAATCGATACTCGGTACGCTAAAAACTTTTCTATAAAATCTCCCATCTCGCATGATTGTTGATTCCGCAGAGAGTATCGATAATTATATAATTTCTCTACATTTTTATAATCGGGGTAGTCGTTAATTTTATATCCGATGATATATTTTTAGCCATTTACAAGTAGCTAAAATTGAATACGATGAAAGAATGATATATTTTACATCTGGCGTATGCTCAACATTTTTTTCTACTAGTTTCGTACATTACACGTATGCAAATGTTAAATTCATACGCTAACGTGATTTATACTCGCGCTCTCCGTTATACAACCCTGACCGTATAAAAAGATCAGCTATGATATCTTAAGCAGTCTTCGTGCGGCTAAGCAAATAAGAAGTGGTGCCCTTCTTATCTCTTGTCATACGAGATATCTACCGTGTTACAAGATTTTCAAAACGACACGAATCTTTACATATATAACTTCAAATATATGTACAGGATATTTCTTATATGTAATGTTTTATCGTATATTTTTTATAATTGACAATGAGAGTCGAGTCCGCTTTAGAAAATGTATTATTTGCGACAAAGTTCAGCGTAAAAATTCTATTTATAGCCTTATGCGTCGTATATAATACAGAAAGCAATTTTTAAAAAATATATTGTACACAAACACTGTATATATATATATATATATATATATATATATATATATATAAAATATAGATTAGAATACATATACATTAAAATATATGCCGGCGCATAAAATTATAAATAGAATTCCGTTTCGATTTTTTTTCACGAATTATAGATTGTCGAAGCAAAGTTATTTGCGAGAGAGAGAGAGAGAGAATTGTTTCGATACCGAGGCGGAGCGTCTCTCTGATTAAAATTTTTAACGATGCGAATAATCAACGTAATTATATCGAGATTTATTTTCTTTTATCGTGCCTAAAAATAAAGAAAGGAATTTCGGAAAAGAATTTTTCGCGTTCTCCATTCAATGTCCGCTGACTTGAAAATTCAGCTTTTCGATTTTTATCGTGATTCAGATCGTATCGACTTCCGCGTCGATATCTGTCCCGAACAAACGCGCACGTATCTTTCACCCTTGATGCCGATGCGTTTACCCTCGTCTCGTAGATTTCTCGCGCTCCGCTTTACCCGCAACGTTCTTCCCCCTGCTCCTTCGCAGGCCATCGTGAGAAGCGTCTTATCAGCTCGGTGGATTCAGATAGTCCTACGGCAGCAGGGCTATAACCCCGTCGACATTAAACTCGCTATATTGGATTTCGCGAAATTCGCACTCCTCGACCGTGAGGGACCCTACGTCTTTCTCCGGTGGCAAATACAAATGGCGTATTATATCTACTGCGCATTTTTATCTCTTGTTTATTAAATAAACTTGTCGCGATTCCGGTGAGCCGATTCCTAGGGACAATAATCGAAAAGTTGAATAAATAAAATTCCGCGAAAACGTCAACATTAGCAGCTTTATCCGCGTGTATTTTATCGAGGATTTTCTTTATTCTATCGAGGAAAGCGCTCTCTCTCTCTCTCCTCTCTCTCTCTCTCTCTCTCTCTCTCTCTCTCTCTCTCCGAGTCGATCTCCGATTGTCTAAATAATCGTCGCGATTGTTACATCATGCGGGAGAGGAAGCGCTCGAGATCGAGATTAGGCGGGCGGCGGCGGCAATATTAAATAAAAAGTATGCGGCGAAGGTTCTCGGAAGAAATCCGAGATCCGCTATTGACGGCTCCCCGTCCCCCCCGTGCAGCCGTTACGCACGCATATTCTATGCGTGCGCGCACACGTACGCCCGCGCCAGCCATAAGTCGCCCGTAAAGTCACTCTCGATTCCTGTTAGGGTGACGTTACGTCATTAAGCGTTACTTTCCTCAACGTTGGGCCATCGTCACGCGTGCCTGCCAAGCGCAAACTATGCGGCGTAGAGGCCGCGGAAAACGCCCTCCTCGCCCTCCTCGCCTCCTCGCCCTCCTCGTCGTGCAAGTAGCAATGAAAGAAACAAAAATCGCTCTTGTCGTAAACATCTTACCGCATGATGGAGAATGACGTGGAATCGTCAGCGGAATTAAAAACAATAATAAAGAGGACTGCATTTCTTCGCACCAATGTTTTCTAGATTCGCGACGATCAATTTGGACTCTATGTCGTAATATTTGCGGAATGTAGCGTACATTTTGTCTCGTCCACGCGCGTGACCTCTTATGGTCTCGTTGGCGGAGGAAGGTTCCTTCCGTCTATATAACACGCCATCGGTCGGTCGTTTACATTGCGAAACGCATTAGCAGCGGGACGCGGATCGCTGCATCGAGCGTGTAATTGCACGCAGCGCGTGCCCGTCTAATACCGTTTTGTCTTTCTCTCTCTCTCTCTCTCTCTCGTATTTTAGCGGTTTACAAAGTACCCGGTTGCACCTGGTTGCAAACCATCCGGGATGCGCGCAACCAGTTTCACGGGGAAACGGTCTCGTCGTGCATCGGATGAACGTTCCGTCGCACTTAGTGCTTAATACGATGCACTTAAGACGCGCATCCTCGTGTCATCCTCGAGCTCGTGTCAGATGTACGACACATCCTAAGACAATCGGAACCGTTAGAGGCATATTTACGCATTGCCGTAAAAAAATGCACTCGCGCGATTATTTGCCATCCAAGACGCGCGCGTCTCGCTTACGCCAGTGAATCTATGCGGAATATTTTGCCAAATAAAAGTATTTGGTCGTATAATTCCAAAGTAATTCGAGCTTCGTTTTACGCGTCGCGAAAAATTTCGATTATTGATTTTCGCTTGGAAATCTATTTCTATCCGTGTGCTATCGTCAAAAATATCTCTGTTCGAGTATCATCGATACTCGACCTTTGCGACTCATAACCTGCCCTAATGTTACGTAAATGTAAATCACCCAAGTAGCTTGCAAATTTCGCGGGGGTCAGATCGCACTTGGTATCAGGTGTCTTTCGTTGTTGGACTGCAAATTTTATATTCGTCACGGCTTCGCCGGTGAATCGAGACGTATTGCTGACCCGTGCACTTTTGCACGCGAGTCGCAGTTTTCGTCTAGTTGCGTGCCGCTCGTGTGCTAAAAACAAAAAAAAACATTGGTTTAACTCGAATCTCAAATTTAAAGAATTCAAGCTAAAAAAATATTAATCGAATTAATGTACTTTAAAATGCCCTATCCAAGAAAAATAGTCTCTAAGTGTATCGAAGACGCAATTTTTTTTCCGAGTTTAAAAATGTCAAATTTGTACTTTTCGCTTCTGCTAAAACTGCCATTTCGTATCTTTCATTTAATTTTCCATCAATAATATACACGTACAAACTGATGGAAAATTAATAAACAGTCTAATAAAAAAAATAAGGATAATCTAATATTTACGTACATAAAATGTTCTACTCGCTTTCGCGATCTCTTCTTTTTTTTTTCGTTCCTCGCAAATTTCACGTATACGCTTATCGATGCTTCTCTCTCTCTCTCTCTCTCTCATTCTCTCTCCCCTGTCGAGCAGCGGGCCAAGTTTGTAGGATACCAAACGCGCGAGAGAGAGCATCACGGATCACGGGAATCGTGGACGTCGCGAAGGTGCCTCTGGACACGTACCGGTATGCAGAAACGTGCCCGGGGGACCGCGCGATCGCTCAAGGTCGCATCCGTATTGACATTATGCGCAAACGTAAGGCGGTGCTTTCGTTTGTTTTAAACTGGACCCGCGCGCTTCTTCTTCTTTACCTTGTTTGGAACACGTTAATCCGCGCTCGGAGATAAAGCGCACGTGCGCCTGGGACGCGATGGCCTTTTGCGCACGCATAATTATGCGCAATAAAAGAAATTCGTTACACGGACGACGTCGTCGTTTCAAGCGATAATCATGTATATAGGGTCGCCAAGAGTATGAATATGCAATTTTATAATTTATCGCAATTTGCAATTTTATTTCCTCCGAAAAATGAAATTCTTGTTTTATCGGGTTGTTGTAATTTTGGGTAAAAAGATGGCATTGAAAATGACGGGGAAAAATCGAAACAAATTTTGACGAAATATATAATTGCTGCTTAAAGCTTACGCGACAAGTAAGATTACGTTGATACAAGTATACAAAATCAACAAAGATATCGATGTACTTAAATAGATGATATATTTGTTGAAGCTTTTTGCTTCATTTGTAACCGAGTCCAATTGACACGTCATCACTTTGACTTCCGCAACGGAATATTTTCCGGAACTTCTCGGGGGGTAGATCCCTACGTGACTCGCCCGCATTCTCCGCCGACAAGATAACGTCACGCTTTGAAACAGAAGGAAAGAGACAGAGAGAGAGAGAGAGAGAGAGAGAGAGAGAGAGAGAGAAGGGCATACTTTAAGTGGAGCCATAACTTGTTTCGTCGCGCCGTACGTCCCCAGAAGCCTCGTTATTTCGTTTCGTTTCAGGTAGACCCCCGGGCGCGTTCGAGTGGCCGGCGAGCCGAGACAGGTATAAACAACTCGTCGTTTAATGGTAATGGCAAAGAAGTAATGGAGTAGCCGTGTTGTTCCGGCCACTTGTATGCGGGGTCATCCGCAGCGAGAGGGAAGGAGAGAGAGAGACGCGCAACGAAAACTATAGGGTCGAGAGGGAAGGTGGTGACCCTTTCGGGCACGCGCCCGCATTCGCGGAGTCGCTCTCCCCCGCGAGAGTCGCCTTCCGGCGCGTCCTCGACAGGGCGGAACGCCCGACAACCGGGGCACCCGCTTCAGCTGCGCGGAAACGGGAGGGAAAAAATGGTCAATTTGCGTCCGATATATAAATACGTATGCTACGCTTACACTCTCCGGGGTGTCGCGCCGCTTCAAATCCCATGGGTAGGGGCGTATTTGTTCGCGCGAGACGCGATCCATGCGCGCAACACGAACCGCGAAGCCTCCTCGATCGTTCGAGTGTATTCGTTGTCGAATAATTTTCAAATGATCAGAGAAGCTCAATTTGATTTTATTAGTATTAATTTTCTCTGCTTGTAATCGTTATTAATCAAGCTTTCGAATACGGCACGATGGCTTGATCGAAGGAAAATCTTTCTTTCGCTCTTCACTTTGTTGGGGTAATCTTGAATGTTTTCGCATGTATATATAACAAGTTTCTTCTCGTTACAGCTCTTCGTATCGGCAGATGAGCGGCGTGAGCACGATGGGCGTCGGAACCGGAACGGGGAGCACCTACGCTCTCCCTTACATGACGAGCAGCCCTACGGAGCTGGCGTCGTCGCCTCAGCTTTGGAACACTCAAGGTACGTATCAGCGGAGCTAATTGACGAGATAAGTACGCGTCCTTGCTCAGCTATACCTTTGACGGATGACTACTAGCATTCCTAACAATGATCCTGTATATGAGTCATCGAAAGCTTCTAAAAGAAACTCTCTAAAGAGATGGTAGTTTCTGTAAAGAGAGATTCATTTGCTACCTCAGAAATGCTACCTGCAAAACATTTTTTTGAGTAAACTTTCTGTTTTCTGCTAAACAAAATTTTTAGAAATATTGAAGAAAAATGAAATATGGTATATTGTATAGAAAATTATTGTAACAAAAGAATGAAATTCTCTTTTGCACTTGACAATGCATACCATAGGGTATTTCATTTTTCTTCAATATTTCTAAAAATTTTGTTTAGCAGAAAACAGAAAGTTTACTCAAAAAAATGTTTTGCAGGTAGCATTTCTGTCACAATAAAGATGTATCGTTATTTTTCTATCTCTGTTATTTGTGTTTGTTACATCGAATTTATAGCAGCAAATTCTATTAGTATCTTTTTAATAAATTAGAGTCCTAAATTCCATTAAAATTAAATATTCATCGCTACGTTAGATAAATATGAGTTTGAATATTTTAGTTTGACTGATCTTTGTTTGAAGAGCATGTTTCCTGTATGCTGTAAAACTTGACAAGTTTTAACCATCAATCTTAACATGAATAGACGCGTCATAAAAAGACTTTTAAATTTTACAAACAGTTTGGACGTAAATTCTCTGTCTAATCTCTGTCATAAATAAATTGATCAAGTGCAAAACACATATCGCACTATTTGTTAATCATTTATCTCGGTTAATTTTTCGTACTTAGAAAATTGTTGCTACATTTGTAAGAGCATTTTTTTGAGCTTTAGTAATTATTTCATAATTTTACTTAATTAGGATTAGTCGTGATGATGAATTGTCTATCGTTCAACGACGCGTACGTAAAATTTCAAGTGGATTCTAATACAAAATGTTGGAATTTCCTAATCTGATTTACAAACTATACAACTCACTTGAGAATTGAGGCGCAGTAAATAACGACCTCCACGTAGACATTTTAAAAGCAAAAAAGATTGTCTTTCTCTGAAAAGAAGAAAAATTAGCGGAGAAACGCTGCGGTTAAAAGGACACCCCATGGGGTGTCTCCGAGCTGAGACGACCTTCGCTAATACGCTATTATCCTCGTTTCTCTTGCTTTCTGTCGACAGGTCTCGGCACCGCGCTGTCCATCGCCGAGGATTACGGAAGCAGCAAACCGTCGGGCATGGTGTCCCATCAATCCCTGCCGGCGTTCTCGCAGCCGTTTGGAGCGCGATCCGGCTACCGTTACAGTCCACCGTACGCGACGTCCCAACAGACGACCACCGACACGCCGACCGGCCGCGCCGTCACCGCCAGCGCCGTCGAGGCCGCCTCCTGGGTGTACGCGTCGATCCGCGAGGGCGCTCAGCCCACGAGCGTCGATCCGCTGACGACGCAATACGGCACGTTTCAGAAACGGCAGACCGTTAATTCGGCGGCGGCACCACCGCAACTCAGCGCCTCGGCGAGTCTAAGCGCAAGTGAGTATTTTCTTTTTTCAAAGCGCGCTAATTAGCTATTTAGCGCCTCTTTTTTTATTTACGATCGAGCAGAGTTGTGATGTAGCTAGATGTTTAAAAGGAATATTAGAATTAGAGCAGCTCTAGAAAGAGTACCTTCAATTCTCTTGACGCGCTATCCTTGGGAGATAAAGGAAGGAAAGTGCTAGAATTCTGTTTTTTATAATTTTATATAAGAATATTTAATAATTTTATTTTATAATTTCATTTCCAATTACACAATTTTAAAGAGAATAGAAGGTTAATATTTTCTCGTAATACTAAATAAAAGGGTTGATGAGAAAAATTGACTAAAAGCAAGCGGATCGCATAATTTAATCATAAAATAATACTAGTGAATTAATTATGATTAAGTTTATTTACGATTGAGTTGAGTGGTGATGCAGCTAGGTGTAAAATTAGGATTAGAGAAAGCGTCTCTAGGAGCGTTTTTAACTCTCTCAATGCGCTTAATCCTTGTGAGATGAGGAAAGAAAGATGCCCTTTTTTAGAAAAATAATTTTATATTTTAATTTTAATAATTTCATACATTTTATTCTTATCATATAATTTTAAAGAAGATGCAGAAGATTGATTCTTCTTTCCTTTCTCGTGACATTGAAAGAGTTAATAAGAAAAATTGCAGATTAAAAGCAGGCGTATCGCGAAAACGATTTCATCGAAAAATTATAGGTAAATTAATAATCTCATTCGTTTTGTCACGAAAGAAATCATGAGGAAAATCCTCATTAAATCCATGCACAACGATAACGAATCGTATCGGTCTTGAAAAAAATTAATCCCATCGATGTATACAGCGATCGTCGCGTATTCTCACGACTTGGATTAATCAAATCGCGACGTTCGTGTCTCCGGCAATGAAATCGAGAATCGAACAGTCCCCGCGATAACACGAACGTGTGCTGGATTTTATTCGACTCGTGGAAATTGACGAGAAACATTCTTCATAGTTTATTAATCATCGCGACTTGTTTGCTGGATATACACGTATATCATTTTTTCACGCGCATCCCAGCGCTTTGCGATAATGTATTCGAATCCTTATCTTCTATTTCATAGAATATTGGATTGATTATTTCATTAAGCCATCATCGAGGAGAGAAAACATTTTTCTTTTTTGAAATATTCTCGCGCGCGTCAGTAGTTTTCATATTTAGACTTGTGGCGCATGTTAAACATGTTATTAAAAATACAAAATAATTTCTACAATTATTTAATTAATTAATTAAGTTGATTTTTTTATTTGATTTCATTAGACTCGCAAAATTTGTTCGTTACTAAATATTTTTAAATGTAAGTTGATTAAATATGTGATGTATAAATCGCTCGGAGACCCGCAAACTTTCAAGTGAGAAATATTTCTCTTCTCGTTTCTTTTCTATTTTTTTTTCTTTTCCCATAAACTCCGACACATTCTCGAATTAATTCTTCCAAGCGGTCCCCGTAACACGAAACCGCAAAGTGCAGGCAGGGTAACGTAAGCGAGCTGCAAGTGACCGATCGGTATAAGCAACCCTCATCCGAGGTGGTCCTCGAGAAGCCAGAGACTACCCCTGTGGCCGTGTTGCGCCGCATGCGTCCCTAAAGTGGGCGGTATCCTTTGATGCAACGACGATCCTTCGTCGCGCGCATCTGCATCCGTACGGAAATAAATGAACGCCGGCGCTAAAGCAACGCACACGCGAGCTTTCTTGCATGCGCGTGGATATCGTCAAGCGTGAAAGAGAGAGAGAGATCGGTGGGCGTGCGTGCACACACACGCTTCCTCGAGCTCTCAAATTCCGCGCTCGCGACACGCGCATTGTTTTCTTATATATAGTTTTTTTCCTTCTTGAAAACTTTATTCGACTATAATCGCCGTTTTATCTTTATATCGTGCCATTATCCAGGATGTCTCACAATCTTCGTATTTTAAGTGTATTTTGAAGCTAATGTAAATTCAAAAATAATCATATACAAAAATGTTGAAGCTGCAATAGTTTGCGATGAGTTATAACGTAAGCGATCAAAATTTGTCAATCATCTCGCCTTCAGATGCATATCCGATCCGTCATTTATTGATTTTTATACAAGTTGGGCCATATTGATCTTTAACTATAGCTGATTTTACTATTTCTTGTATGTTGGTACGGTGATTAACTGATATTAACGAGTTATAAATGTTGTACGTAAAACGATTAAATTTTTCTTAATGATTTAAACAATTAATTATTACAGATAAACGGAAAACTACAAGTCTAATATTTTCACACGTATATAAAAAACTGTCATTTTTCTTTCGATCCGATTATTTATTTATTTATTGTCTTGTAAAAATTAATAACAAACGACTCGATTTCATTTTACCCCTAGAATATGCTATTAAAATATTGCACGCAGGTTGTGAGATATCTTGTGTAATCGGATACTGTATTGATAATCCTTGCTCTATTCCCTTAATTTTTCAGAGATTTATATAATTTTGGGCAATGAGACACTATTCCTCCTCCTTCTCAGGCATATGATAAATTGACGTTTAACTCACGCTCGCGCGATGATCAACGGCGTGTCATGTTGCGGTCGTCATAAATAATAGGGGAAAAAGGATTCGATGTCTCGTTACTCGTGAAAAGTCGAATAGCGGAGAGGAGATTCGGGTGGTACGAATAGTCACACATAGTTGTGACTAATTCGTCCACTAAATTAGGGCGGTCCCGGCAGACCATTCCAATATCGCGTTTCAGTTTTCCCTTACTTGGCCCTATCATCCTTGCTGGCGATATTTCTCGAGCGCAACTTTTTTCAGAGTTTGCACCGTAGTAATTATTTACGAATAACGTTAAATCAATGCGCGTACGATCGGTCGTAGGATAGGTGGTACGTATCTTTTACGAATTTATATTCGTTATCGCGAGAGAAAGACTTATAGTTGACACTCGGGTCGATCGCTATCGATGTGACTCGTCGACTTTGTAAACGATAGTCGGCAATATATCATTCAGAACGGTTTTATTGTGTCTTGTTATGACTTATCGAAAGTAGATCGACTGATAAATAATTAATTCTTTTTTTTTTCAACTCGCCCCAAGCTTTATTTAATGCTGTAAAAGTTCAATTTTATCTATTTTTCTCGAAGGAAATTAGTATAATATGTATTAATTAATTTTCGAGGCGCATTTTCTCCTCGTCCCTTTACTTTGTAGACGCGTCAGTGTCGCCGACTTTGCTCGCGCGACTCTCGAGTCTGCTCTTTATCGTCTACGATTTCGGAGTTCGCGGTATCCAGCGAACGAAGGTATTCGTCGCAGGTGTCCTGAAGCAACCTCTCTCCGCGAGAGAGAGAGAGAGAGAGAGAGAAAGAGAGACTCTCGTCTTCGTCTTCCGCAACACCTGTTTCCGTCACGCGCGCTATCGAAGGAGGCAGCGCGAACATTGATACGACCATGACCTAGGTTGCACGAACGAGCCTAATCTAGTTGCGTCTACTCGCGATACGCAGAGGTAACGATAGGGCTGTATCTAGCGGGAACGCGCGGCTTACGATAATTCCACCGTAATGTGTATGTTCTTCAGGCGTAACATCTCTTAGGTATCTAATCTAAAACCGGTCAGCGACACGCAGCGAAAACTGGCGGTAACCCTGGAATGGAAGCGACGCATCGTCCGACACGTTCTCTTCTCCGAGAAAATCGGATAGAGAGCGATTTTGGGGCTGCGACGTCTCGCGAGAATTTCGTTGGGTCCACGGTGGACGACGTCTTCGAGGCTACGATTATCAAGCATCGACTTGGAATCGGACGCCAAAGAGTCGTGTCGTTCTTTGAAGCTGACGTAAATTCAAATTCGCGATGCGTGTCTTTAGTCAAGTTTCGATCCAATACTCGTGGCGATGAAATATCACGTCCGCCGGGCGTGTCGTACGAGAATAAGCGGTTTGATTAACACACGAATTTTCCTTATCGTTCTCTCTTTAAATACCTCCTCCGTGGTATCGTTCGCATTTAATTTTGGCTCTTATGCAAGCTCAAGTTCACGACCATAGCTGATATCGCGCACTGTTCTTTACTCCTCTTTTCCCTGTTTTCGGATAATAATTAAGTCTCGCTGGTCCGATAGTCGCCGGCGAATATATAGTAATGTTTATCGAGTTAACGTTTCTTGGCAACGTTGAATTCATTTTAGATACTAATAATGACCGAGATAAAAAATGTTGGCCTTTCGAAGTTCACGGAGGTCGCGATCAGACTCTTTTATCCGCGTGACGTAAAAGTTCACCACAGCAATGTACGAGTTTAAGTTGAAAAAAAAATAACTTGCCGAATCTCTCTCTCTTAAATTGTTAATCTTCGTCAGAATATTCTCTTATTTGTCTTGTCTAAATTGTACGTATAGAGATGAAAATAATCGAGACACTTGTAATATTCGGAAAAGGAGAGACGGAGAGGGCAAGATGCGCATCTTTGAGGGATGTATCGGTCGAAGAGGGAGAATTTGAAGACCTTAAGTGGTTCTTCAGGGACTCGACAGAGTCTGCGGTTATACGTGCCGCACCATACGGACTCCATTCCAACAGACCGGGAGAGAGAAAAAGAGATGCTTCTTTTAACATACCGCGACCTCGAATATCTCGAGTCCGCGAGTTCATCATGCCGTACAGCATTTAAGTTTAACCGCGCCAGACACGCGTATCCCACCACCTACGTAGGGGGAGAGAGAGCATCTCTCTTGGCATGCTTTCGTATACTTTGTACAACGTCGATGCGGGAGCACTGCGAGAGCTCTGCATTATGAAGGATCGTGCACGTGGCCGTCCGTAAATTAATCTGGAGGATTGAGATTCGAAAATTTCCCTTTTTAAAAGCACGCATCGCGCAGACCTCTTTTTTTCCATTTACGGTTCGAAATAAAATTAACGTACATAGCAATCTCTCACATGAAGTTTCTCCGATTAATTAAATATCGCTTTTTATGTAGATATGCAAAACTATCGAGGGTTTATCGACGCAAAAATAATCCCTTATAATAATGATTGGATATCAAAGGATAGAAAGGTCATAAATAAACCAATGGCAATTGCAGCGCTCGCACACCTGTTGCAAACGAGGCCCGCGGGTAGACGCCGCGCGGGGAAATCGATCGAGCTTTCTCATTATGAAATAACAAGTGTCGCGAAGCCGAGGGTAGATTAGCGAGCGAGCGAACGGTCGGAAGAAACAAAAGCGCAGGTGAACAAGAATGTTAATGCGATGATAACGCAGCGCTTATTATCGCGCGTCGACGTATAATCGTCCAACTGTGAAATTAGGTTCGCCTGCGAGAAGCAACGTCACAATTTCCGATTTATCGCGCTTGATCTTTCGAAGCGATACGTATCGCGCGTATTTTTACCTCTGCAGCTCCTCTCCTCTCCTCTCCTCTTCGTCGTTTCTTCGTCGTCGCGACGGCGTCGTTCGCGTCGTTCGGAACGTGAAAATGCAACGTGAACCCTCGTACGCAACGTTCCGAAGGTATTCCATATAGAGGATACCCCCGGGCTACGTCAGCCGCATATTGTATAATATCCGATTGCTATCCAAGTCCGATTCCGCCCCTATCTCGAGAAGATTCTCGTGTCCTCTGACCTTTTCGTCCTCGTGTCGGTTTGGTAACTCGATTCCTGCATTTTAATTCCTTACCTCTCCTTTCATATCTAGTTACGGACGCTCCTCCTACCTTGAAAACAGCGTGCCAAGTTTATAGACGCCATAAACGACACGCGAGCAGTCGGATATATCTCAAACTTAATTCTAATTTAATGATTCGGAGGATGCGACGTTGAAGAAGACGAGCCTCCTAATTTTCCTCGTAAACACGCTTCACGATTGTCATAAATCACTAAGTATAGTACCCGAAAGACACAAAATATTAATTTAATTGTATATTATTATTCATCTATTTTATTTCATTTATTTATTATTATTAAATATTCATTTATTTTATTACTATTATATTTACTTGGATATATTATATGAATTTATTATATATTTATGCAGATATTAATGTATGTAATGTATATTTTATATCCTTGTTATAATTCCATCGTATGCACAGACACACGTGCGTTCACGTCGATGACTTTCCGCGGACGTCTCTCTGCGGAAAATGCTCTCGATAGAAAAATCACTCGCGCTTGCAAATTGTCGCGAGAGCGGCGACAAAAAATAATCCGACATATTATTAATAATCTAGTATTTGTGGGTCAAGGTGGCGTCGTGAAGGCGCGAGAATGCAACTCGACCCGCGCGTGCATAATACGCACGGCTCTTTATGAGAGAGTTCGTAGGACTCGCGGACGAACATCAGCAGCTTCTTGCTTACCTACATACAATATCCGATTGCTTCCCAGTGGCATTTCTGCCGGATGTGCTGCTCGCGTACACCGACCTCTCCTCATTCTTTCTCCTTCTACGCTTTGCTTTTCTTCTTCTTTTTCTCTTTTCACCGAGTAACCCGAGATGAATCCTCTCTCATTTTTCTCTCCGTCAAGTGACGCGCTCGCTCGGACTCTACTAGGAAGAATAAGAAGACGCGGGGCTTCTCTTCATTCTCGCGCATTCCAGCAAACGTCGTTTAGTAGATGAATTATATGCCAAAGAATATCTCCATTTTTTCTTCCTCTCTCATCTCCCATTAAACAACGAAAAGAATATCGCTTGTTTTTCGCTTTGTTTCGAATTCAAGTTTGTTTAAATGATACACATTTATAGCAGAAATAACTTTGACGTGGCAGTGAATAATTTTGTCACGACAGAAATAATTTTGTACTTTTTTTTTTTTAAGTTTTAGTCGCGGCACATGGCGCGACTAGACCGGGTCGCCTCGCGTTATTATCGGCAAACGCCGGAAATTCTGATAACGCCATGTCCGTTCCCTCGCCTTTATACTTCCTGCATCCTTCCTTCGCTCGTTCGTTGATGCTCCTTGATGTCGCGTTTCTGGTCATTTTCATATTTTTCTTTTCGTAATAATATTTTAATATTCCCCGCGATCCATATAAAATATTATAAATAATTGACGCTTTTAAAATATAAATAATTGACGCTTTAAAATTCAAACAGGAATTCGGAAACGAAAGGAATTTGTTTTCTGTAATTTCTCTGTAATAGACTAGTTCTACAAAATTATTGACAGTAATGACTCAACTCTATACGAGTATATTAAGCTGTCATTAAGAACGACCGTGTTGAAAGGTTGTTGACTTTTGAGACCAAAATTTATTTTCGTCGAAACGTTGGAAAATTACAGAAAATAATTTAGACTCTTGTACGACGTGTTAAATTTTTTTTTTACGACGTTATTCTACGACGATCTTATACTATTACTATTACGATGTAATTTCTCGTCTTTTCTTGTCTCGTAAGCGAAATAAGTAGAACCAAATACTTTTTCACATATTCTATTTTTTCTTTTTGCATATTCCGGGAGTTTACGTCTCAAGTTGCGCTCGCGGTCCGAGAGACTATGCATATTCATAGTCACGTAATGTAGAAATGAGGGGGGGGGGGCATCGCCGCGAGAGCCAACGAAACAATTGTTTCCGAATGGTCACGTAAAAAGAGGCCGCAGATACGGTTACTCTCGTCGGGGACGCGCGTGCAAGTGCTCTTTTTACCTGGCCGCGAAAATTGCGTCGCGCGTGCCGGAAGCACGTGTGTCACATGCACCCATGGCTGTATCGCGCATTTTTCGCTTCTGCGATGGAAGAGGAAATACTCGGGTGGGAAAGAGTCGAGTGTGGTCAACCGTTTGTCTCTCGGGAAATTTATTCCGCACCGCGCTTGTGCACGTCTGCTTTTAAAACACGAGAAAGAATACTTGCCTTTGCGAGAAATAAAAGCGGAAAATATTCACGAATAAAGACGAGAGACGCGTTACATATATTTCTCACGAGACAAAAGTGCACCGATGATTTTTTTCCGCATGTCTTCAAAAGGCAAGTATTTTTTCAAGTGAGAGAGGGGGGAGAGTGATGCGTCACAATTATATTTTAGACAATTAATTAATGCGCTATCATACGTTATACATGTACGTCATTAGGATTCATAGATATTATATTACATAATTTTATATCCATCGTTTTATCTTTACGGACGAACCATTATGAGTCAACGATACATCATGGCATCTTTAAAACAACAACGCATGGACAATCGACTATTTTTCATTCTCCGCAGCTGATTCAAGATTATTCACCAATCTGCGTATAATTAATTAAAAATAAAAGAAACAGCAAAAGAATACATATACGTATATATATATATATATATATATATATATATATATATATATATATTTATAATATTTATATAAAAATTGCTCACGATACGGGTACGTGTGCGTGTTTTGCATGCGATTGTCTGATCCTTTTGAGAAATTCCGTGTGAATGTGAAACGCAGTGCACAACATCGAGGCGGAGTACTTTACGGAGGGCCGCGAGTGCGTAAACTGCGGCGCGATTTCCACACCCTTATGGCGTAGGGATGGCACCGGGCATTATCTCTGCAACGCATGCGGTCTCTACCACAAGATGAACGGAATGAATCGTCCTCTAGTTAAACAACCACGCCGCTTGGTAAGGAAGGCTTCGCGACTCAATGCCCCTTGCTCCCTCCGCCTCGCCATTCGCGATCCGGAATAACGGGAACGGAACGGTCTGACAAAGTTGTTTTGTTTGGCGGGATATACTCGCAGATGTATCGTAATTTGCTTTTTGTTTGTCGAATTTGAGAGAATCCAGAGAGAGAGAGAGAGAGAGAGAGAGAGAGAGAGAGAGAGGAAAATTATAGACGGTGATTTTTCTTACAAATCGTCTCTTGAGAAATCTGGACAATTGTCTCTGATTTCCGATACCGTTCCGTTCCCGTGTTTTTGGATCGAATTTGCAAGGTACAGTCGAAAGAAAAAATGAGACGAAAAGAGAGAAAGAAGGAGAGAAAGAGAAGAGAGAGAAAGAGAGAGAGAGAGAGAGAGGTAGAGAGAAGCATAAAGGATTCTTTCTCTCGCTTGTCACTTTCTTATCACTGTCCAGGAGCCTATGTGGAAATTCGCCCGTGATGTTCTGCCTTCCCGTAAGTCCGAGCGATCGCATTCTCCGACTGTGATTCTACGAGGAAGAAAAAAAAATTGTCCCTCGAGACTCGTCCATCGAGCATCGCCCCGTGTATGTTTAATACGCGCACGAAAGAAACATCCCTAACGTATGGCCTCATGTCTGTTTCAGTGGCGGACCAGGGCAATTTCTACAAAGACTCTTCTCTCTTCTGTGGGTATAGTGGCGCCCGTCGCGTCCTCGCGGAGGAGAAAACGAGCCGTCGTTTGGTAGGTGTCATCCTCCCAATCAGCATTCTCTCTCTTTCTCACTCTATCTTTTCCTCTATTATTCTACCTGACAATACACGCTATATCGAATCAACAATGATATTTTTCTCTTGTCTTTCTTTCTTTCTCTTTCTATTCCTCCGCAATATCATCGGCATTCCCTGTCCCGTAGTTTGTCGCGCTTTTCCCATACTCGTCATCTTCGTTGACTCCTTCTCCGACCAAGTACGGGATATAATAGTTAATGATCGCGGTAATAACTTTTGTCTTTCAATCTTTACCAATCTTTTGTCCATCTTTAAACGATATATTAAATTGATGATACTTCAAAAAGAAATAGTTATTTTTAATCAAATATACGTAAGAATAAAATCGATGGATAAATGAAGTTTGTATTTGAAGTTTGAGTTTGTTTTTAAGATAATCTTCAAATTAGAAAGAACCAATAATTAAAATTGAATCGCACAATACTAGCATTAGAAAAAAATCTATGCTAGTATTGTATGCTAGAGAGCTTTTTTCGAAAAACGATTAAGGATCGACGAATGTTCTTCCTGTCCTGGCTTTCCCTTTAATTTCGCGCTTTCATCAATCATCACGCTAAACCAACCAAGCCAATCAATTATCGTCGACGAAAGCATTCTTCCCGATCGTTTTCGTCATCAACGACACGTTCCTAGCAGGAGACACAACTTTCGAATCGCAAGCCCCGAGGTGCCACTATACCCATGGTACGAGCACTCTCCTCCTCCCTCCGAAATCACGTGCAGCCTGTTAAATGTAAAGTACGTCTCGTGTCGCTCGTAATTTTTTCAATCACACAGAATGATTCTTTGTGACGTTTGTTGAGTTTTTCCAGGCTCGCGCGTGATCTTCGGAGGGTGGCTCGCTTTTCTACTCCGCGATCTCTCTGCGGTACCTTGCACAGAAAGCTTTCTAGTCACGGTAATCCCTTCCCGAGCTCACTAGTGACCTGGTGAAAGCGATTGATCATTATCACCTTTCCGTTAAACGATTCTTTCCCCTTTAAATATTCAAAATATTTTCCGATTTCCTTATTACATATTTTTTTTGAAATGTATGGTCCAGTTATTTTCTTATATATATATATATATTTTTTTTTGTGCATCTATACGTATTTTTGATATGTAAATTTCAATGTTTCGTTTTTCGAGAGAGATTCTATCGAGATAAAATCATGCACCTTTTTAAGAGCAAATCACCCCATCCTTCTCATTAGCTTTCATCGGATCCTCATTTTCAAATTTTTCTTTTCGATCGAAGGCAGGAAACGGTTGTAATAACGACTTCCTATTTCTTCAGTCTGCTTCGAGGCGCGCTGGTCTCTCTTGCAGCAATTGCGAAACGACGATGACATCGTTGTGGCGTCGCAACGCAAGCGGCGAACCGGTGTGTAACGCTTGCGGTCTTTACTTTAAGCTACACGGCGTCAACAGGCCGTCGACTATGAAGAAAGATAGCATTCAAACGCGCAAACGGAAACCTAAGGGCGGAATGAAAACCAGCGACACACCTCTTTCGGGCAACGTTGCGCAATGCGCAAACAACAACAATAACAATAACAACAACGTTAAACTCGAACCAGGTAAGCGTGTCGAACATATCTATCGATTTAGCGCCCTTCATCGTTTAAAAATCTCAAATAATTTAGAATTTTTTATTTTTATTCGTTTGCGTTTTCTTTTCATCTACAATTTTTCGAAACACTCCCGCGATATTTCCGCGTCCGTTTCACTATACTTATTGTTGTCTCGTTTGCAATTTTTTCACAATTATTTCATTGCCGATAGATACCTATGGCGATCTGAGGATGGCTCACACTGGCGTGTCACAAGTGTCATACACGAGCAATATCTACAACACCCAGGCTTCGAACAGGATAATGTCCTATCAGCCCACCACCACAGGTCTCTATTATGAGATGATGAATTCGCAGCCACAACAGCAATTGCTCGAGACTCATTCGCCCAAGATCGAGTGTCCGTCTTCACCTTGTGCCACCCGTTCCCCCGGAATGGTCTCAGCTGGTCAATCACCGGATCATCACCAGCTCACTTCGCCGCATATCGTTACTCTGGGCAGTCCATCGAGTAGTCCAGCTGGTCCTAAGATTATCCTGGATAACGGACACCTTGAAAGATCTACGGTTGTGTCAATATCGTCCTAGAAGCTATTCAGAAAGAAGCCGGATACTTCTCTCGAGTTGTCACAGCTCTTATATTTCTTGAGAAATTTTATAATATATTTATATACAGTGTGTGTACATTATATATTTATATATTATTAAATTTCGTAATTTACATATGACTTGATTGAAAGAACTTGTTTCAATTTGTGCAATTGTCGTTTGCACAATATTTTTTTTTTTTCAACCAGCAAAATAAGCATTTTGTTAGGTTTTCTGCGCGCATTGTGATACACAAAATTGAAAGTTATACTTTTGTAGAAATCGTGTGTATAAGAAAGCAAGAAAGCAGTAGTTGTAAATATGCGTTTTAAAAAATTTTAACATGAATTTTTCGAAAAAAAAAAAACATGAACTTTCTTTGTCCAGGAAAATGAATTGTACTTTTTTATTCAATCTCTTCTTTTTTTTTACCAAAGAAGACTTTATTAACAAGTCTTGCGAATCGACACTTAATACCAAATTGCAAAAAATATTTTATCTGTATATATAGATATATAAATATATATATAAATATAACGGGAATTTTTTTATATATAAGATTTAGATATTATATATAGATTTAGTAAACATCCTTATATATCATTCGAATGTAAGAATAAATAGATAAAAACATAAGGATTTTACGATGGATATATAGTGCCTTTGTTATATATGATATATAAATGGTATCGCCTTTATATGTAAAGCATTTAAAAATAATAAGAATAATGTAATACACAACTAGACAATAAGCATGTAACGATAATTGCTGCATATATTATACGAGTGAACATATTCCCTTCTCTCGATGGCATTACAAGACTAATATATACAACTATATATTTTCCTTAATATATAGTGCTGTAATAATGCATCGCAAATATATTTCGTGTAATATATTTTTAGAATATTGTATATTGAAGCATCAGTTATTTTTAAATAAAAAGGGATAATTAAAAAACAAAGTTAGGAAGCTTTGTCGATGCCTTAAGATGTAATCGTATTAAATCTTAAATCTATATATAAGTTTACATTTGAAAAAAAAAAACAAACATTTAAGAATTTAGAAGTAACAGATATCACTGTATATAAAATTAATGACTTATATGTAATAATGTCAATTATATAATTATGAAACAATGTGACAATTATAAAAATAATAATGAGAAGAAAAATGACATTTTGTAACAGAAAGAGGAACCGATGCGATGTACATTTTCATCATACGCAATCGCGTAATATAAAGCGTGCTACTCGTGACATTTCCTCGAAATTACATCCATCGCGTTGTTTAAAAGCCAGATAATGAACTTGTAAAATTATGAGGTTGAACTTTCCGAGTTATATGGTTGATACGGGGTTTGCGCTGTTATATCCACAAAAACATTACCTAGCTGACGAAGCAAGGAGTCAGTGAACGACCGGAGTCATCCTCCGGAAAGTTCATCCTTGTGTATTTTTGGCGATAATAAAATATCTCGGCTAATCTCTGCGCGAGTCGCATATGCTCCCTCCCGTAGCAATGGCGTAGCTAACGTACAGCGCGACTACAAAAACTTTATAATAATATCGCCGTAGAGAGGAACTTGTCAAACGTTCGAATTAAAAAATGTATCATTCTTTAGTATATTTTTTTTAATCGTATATAATCTGATTAGTTTCTGTGTTGGAAAGTTTTCTAAAATTTATAAGACTTGACTTGTCGAGACTTATTAAAAATCATCCAATCTCCTGTAATTTTATTAATATATTATAAATTTATTAAAAACTGATGAATAAAATCATTGAAAACAAATTACGATATTTATTTTTTTTATAATAAAATTGTTTCGTTATTTCATAAGAAAATATACAATTGTTTGTTATGTAAAAAGAATGCCTCTAAATAATACGAGTACGCTATTGCTGCATCTGAAGCAATAATACACGCTGAATCGTCGTCTTATTAGAACGATGTCTCACCTGATTCGCTTATCAGCGGATACCTCGGTGTATGCTCTGTAACCATGACAACAGTCCTCCACCCCCAAAGTTTCATACCTCTCCCTCTTGGTAGGCAGGTGATAAGAGAGATAATCCGGACTGAGTATACCTGTAGATACACATCGCGCGGACGCGCGCTTGTACACAGCAAGGTAAACTGATCCCGTCATCACAGGGAGCTATACGAAAATAACTTGGAATAAGAAAATATTAAACCATGTGAATAAAAAAACGAGTATGTAACCGAGATAAACTGGCCTAGGATAAAACTCGTCTCGTAAAATCACAAGATTTAAATACATGTTCGAGAGTTGCTTTGTGTAACATTTCAGTTCCAACATGATATTTTTCTATTTCGTTTAATTTTCTTTTCTTATAATTATCGATTCGCCGCGATGAGGTTCCTTAGTAATCTAGTATTTAAATTCAAGGATTTGAAAAATGCGAAACTTTAAACTATTAAAAGTCGGAAATATATGCAAATCGGAAGATGTAATCAATTAAGAGATCAAGAGATAGTGTAAAAGTTTAAATTCTCAAAAATGCATCAATGGAATAAAATTAATCAAAAGGATATAACATGAATTATAATAAAATATATTTTCAATTTTGGAATTACCAAATCTTTGATAATTATCAGCCACTGATAATTAAAATTTGTATCTCGACATCTCGTTCTATTTATTCGTTAAAATTTAAATTCTCAAAAATTGGAAAGTCAAATGAGAAAAATAAAATGAGGTAGTATGGACTAAAAAAATTTCAAATTCTTTTTAAGTATACTAGAATATTACAAAGTACACTCTCTACACGTGTGCCATTTCTTTATGCTATTTAATATATTGAAAAAAGAATTGTCTTCTCGAAATGTATAAATATTTGAGACATAAAATAATATTAAATTAATTTATAAATAATTTTTCTTCCAACTAAGCTAAATTATATTTTTTAAATGACAGTGTTAGACTTTATATGTAATATATTTACATATCTATAAAATAAGAGAAAAATAATTATTAGAATGGAATTTCAAAATCCAAAATATAAATTGTATATTTGTTGATATTTTCTATCTTTTGTGCTTATTGCAATATTATTGTACATATTTTCAGAATAATAAGGGAAAATAGTAGAATAATATCAATAATAAAATATTTAATGTAAATATATGATATAAATATAGAGGAATTAAAAAAATATATAATCATAATCTAAATTATATTTATAATCATAGCATCGAATGGAATCGATAATTATAAAGTATGCATATATCTAGAAAATCTCATGGAGAATTTTTAACACGAGCTGGATTTTCTTTCTCTCTGAAAAAAAATACATAGATAAAGTTATAAATTTTTTTGTTGACACAAATCACATCCTTGCTTAATCTTCCATCAAAATTTTTTCTCCTAATGACAGAAAAATGATATATCTCAGACTATCTAAACAAAATGATTATGAAATTATATATGATTTTCCGCGGTGTATTTATTTTTACGCAGGTATTATTTTTATTATATCTTATCTTATTTTCATTGACATTCCAACATTCTCTCGCTCATAAAACTGAGATTGAGGCTTAATCGATAAATCAATAAGCGAATCAAAATTTCTATCTCTCGGTGCTTTGAGAGAACGATTGTCTTGCTTACTTTTAAAAGAGACTATTATTACTATGATTTTAACTCACCTCTGCAGTTTTCAGATTAACGATGAGACCGAAGGCTGAAGAGACAGGATCGGGGGGAGTCGATACCAACGTAGCAGAAGGAGAGTCCAGCATGGCAGTCGTCTCGTAATCGTCGTCAGTCAATATTTGACGGGCTCTCGGATCAAATCGAAGCTTCGATTTTGCGCTACTAGACGGCAGCTTGAGCGACGACCATCGAATAAGGACGGCGGCGGCGACGACGACGACGACGACGACGACGACGACGACGGTGAGGACGGCGAGGACGGCGACGACGACGACGGCGAGGACAGCGACGACGACGACGACGGCGACGACGACGGCGACGACGAGAGCGGCAGGCATTCCTCTCGCACTTCGTAAAAAACGCACCTGTGTCAAGCGCGCGCCGCGTGCGTGTCTCTCGCTCACAGGCTCACTCGCGAGAACCGAACGAAACGAGGAGTCGACTTGGTCCGAACGTCAAGAGTACCTCGTGGACTTGGTGACAATCAGGAACAATCAGGAGCAATCAGGTGCAATCAGGACGAATACAATCACACGGAGCTCCGTTTACTCGTAAGTCGAAAGCCTTATCATTCTTGTCAAGTTTCGCGCGCTGACAGAGACCGGCATGGCGACGCCGCATCTGTAGCAGCATTCGTGCACGATTGCATTTCAACGGATTCGCAAGCATCAATTGTCGTTGAATAAATTTTTTCCCGCTTGTGATATAATTAGCGAGTCGATTGGTACGATTGAGAAACGAAGTCGAATGACATTAATCGACTTTGAAATCGCATTAGACGATTGAAATAGCTGGATACCTTAAATATGGTTTAAATCTTTTCTCACATGTATCTAGGTAAAAGCGATGAGCTTAGTAATTTTAAAACATAAAAAAGACATTAAGATGTAATAAAGTCGAACGTTGATAAAAGAGCAAATCGGCTAACGCGATTTCATCTCATCGTCAAGAGAGACAGAGAAAGAGAAGAGAAGAAAAAGAGAGAGAGAGAGAGAGAGAGAGAGAAACGCACGTAAGAGAGAGCCGAAAACGAACGTTCGTGGTAACGCGAGCAACGAAAGAAACACTTGTGTTTTATGTTCGAACCTCTTCGACACTTGTGCTTTGTACCTGGCCCGCTTCCTCCTCTTCATCAGTACGATTCCTTAATCTAGGCACGAGCCTCGTCGAACATTATTCGATTCATCCGTCTCCCTTTCCCTTTTTCCCTTCCCCTTTTCTCTTTATTTTTCTCGAAAGTCTTTTTTTTCAAGGTCTCGATCAGATCTTCATCAATCGGTCATGTTAATTCATCTGTTTTATCACTCAAAGACATATCGCACATGCGTACGAAGCTCGCACGATATTACGCTGTAATTAATATATGCTCTAATTGGACACTAATTGTTCCGTGTAATAATAGTTGCATCGTAAAATCAGAATTGTGATGAAATAGACACATGATTAAATAACGTAACGTATTAAGTAACGTAATTATTGAATTATTAAAACGAAAATTAATTCTACCATCGTTGAAATTAAAAAAATTTTTTTTTTTAAATTGAAGAAAAATTCTGCAAAGTATTATAAAGTTGGAGCTATAAAAGCATGAGCTCATTAAAGTATACGTAATTTCCAGTTTATACAAACGACCGAAAATATTTGCAGACTTTCGAGTTTACTCTCTCTTTCTCTTTCTCCCTCTCAAGAGCAAATTAATTATTTTAACGTTTAATTAATTTACCTGCATCTGTCGCTCGAGAAGCATGTCCCAAACGATGTCCAGATTATTCAGTTACAACAATGTCGACAGCAAATATTAAATCGACATAAATATCAACTCGAGTCGGTCCAATGGTGCGCTCGCGAGGGAACATTTCAATGAACAAATATTTTCAGACACCTTTTTCAATAAAATTTTAAGAATCGCAATTTAATTTAATTTCTTCACGAAGTCTTGTACCTTTCCGTATAAGCTTCTTTCAAAATTTATATATTCCAATTATTTTACACGTTCGAAATATATGTTAACATTAGGTACCTTCAACTTTCTACTTTCACAAATCTGGAATTTCGAAAATTTACAGGAGCTTTCTTCTTCAACTATCGATTATATGTCACAAACGAAAGCTATATTCACTATCAATCATCTGTACGTCCACGCGCACACGTAGACATACATGCGCGCACCATACATTTATAAGGCAAAATAATTGTTCGTTGCGCGCAAACTTTTCTTCTCGGTTCGTTCCCGACGCGTTCCATCTTGACAAAAATACGATTCATCGATCCGGATTAAAATCTCAATTGTCACCTGTAGAGAATCCGCGATACGTTCGACATCGGTGCTCCTTGCGATGTCTGGCACGAAACTATCCGTCGCAGGAAAAGAGATATCCGCCGAGAGAGCGCAGATAATATTTTATTAATCATTAAGCACATAGCCGCCGTACATATAAGATAATGGGAATAATATCAGGCAATGACGATAATACTGTTTGTCGTGCACGTTAATTATTGGTCCTCTCGCACCGCGCCGTCGGCTCGTCGCTCCATTATCGATCAATTTATTCGGAATGTTGGCAAAGTTTATTTTTGAAACAAACTGTCGCGTGAATATGCCACGGGAAATAGCAATCAACGCTTCTTCTTTGATTTCGTTCAAATAATTCCAAAGTATTTCGATTCGACAGCGACAACCGAAAGAGATTCTTTTTGAAACGCACATTTCGATAAAATCGAAATATTTACACGTGAGATATTTTCCTTGAAGGATTTAGATATTACACAAATTTTTAAATAATCATTAATAAAAGAATATATTAATAAAAAAAAACGCGCGCGAAAATTTCGTGAAAAAATTTAATTAAAAAAATAACGCGCCTTTATCAATAGACTTAATTCTATTTCAAAATCATCGAGTAAATGTAAATGTGAATTTTAGCTTGAAATTTTTTACAACTCGAATATACATATATTAATAATTACGTTACGCATTAATAGGGATCTGGCAATGATACCGCTTGTAAAGATCTGTCGCCGTTAAAAATGGAAAGAGCGGCGCGGGCTTTAGTTCCGAATGCGAGAACCCAGTGTAAATCATTTTTTTTTTCAAGGTCTCGCGACGTTCCATTCGTAGTCGGCCGATCGAAATACAAATATTGGAATAAAAAGTTTCGATCCCGCCGCTGCAGAAACGCAAACATCGCCATGGCGGTATACGACGCGCGTGTCTCTCCTCTTTGAGAAACGACGGGCAATTTCTTCAGAAACTCTGTAATATTTTTTTCGCGACTAGCAATTTAATTGTCATAAATAGTCGCGAGTAATTGCGAGTACCTTAGTTACCATCCTCCGCTTTCGAGCTCATTTTCATCGGATATTTTACGACGAAGGAACGCACGGTATTTGCGACGAAAATAATGAGCGTGAAATTTGTTTGCACGGCGCGGTTGTAGCGCGATGTTAATCCCGTCGACGTTAAAATCGAGACAGCTCCGTCTCGTTGTAAATTTTACTAATTGCGCCGTAAAACCTTCCCATCTTCTCATCTTTGCACGCGTTGCGAGACGTCGTTAAACACGCGCCGATTGGGCAATAAAGGACTTGTAACGCTCGCCATTTTGATGCACGGGCGTGCACTATGCTTGATTAAAACGATGACAAATTGCAATAAAGTTTTATTGGCTTCTCAGTATTCGATGAGAGACGAGAAGCTAGCCTTAGTGCTGTACTTTGGAAAATTTTCCCAACAAATTAAGTCCATCCTTATCAAATTATGCCATCTAGGGCGTATATACATATATGTGGGAATCTGTTGTCTGTACATCAAACTATAATGTCGTGCAATTCTTCAAGAGAGAATGATTTATCGACGAAAATTATTTTGATGTATTTCAATAAAGGGAAAATCGTAATTTGAATAGCTTAATTATAAAAAAAAAGATGCAATAATCAAAGTTAAAGAGATGTAATAAATGAGAGCGTTGATATTTTCATTAAGATAAAATATTAGTAAAGTAAAAAAAAAAACAATTTAAAAAAATTAAAAGAATATCCAATGATTTTTTAACACTGCGTATATCGGTATTCCTTGAACCGCATGATGTCAACGTGCAAAAATAAGACATCATTTTTACGTAGATTCTCAATGATACGGATTCTCACGTACACACGCGATGCTCGCGCGAATCGTGCTGTCTACCTTTACACGTACACGGACGTACATACTTCAATTTTTCTCACATACGATGATAAGGGATATCTACGTGGCTGATAAAGAAATGACCTCGTGTCTCGTTTAATGACGTAAATCCTCCTTGCGTTCGCTTGCAATTTTTGCTTCCGTCGTGTATTTGTGTCAGAAATACACAAAAGTTCATCCACGAATCAATTTCCAGGCGAAACTCGATGATGTAATTAATAATATATATTCTCGATACACATGATGCACATCGTTATCTACTTTGTGCTTTATTTTTACAGAGCATTATTTATAGAGTTTTTCGCGAGACACTCAAGTTGTCGATCTACTCCTCATTTTGATAATAAATATATAAATCTTACATATTTTACCCTTCGATTACAGTCGAGTATAGTAGGTTTTTTTTTACAAAAAAAAAGATTTATCCAAAGATTTATCTCTAAGACTCATTCACATATTATTACACACACACACACACACACACACACACACACGTGCCAATAATCTTGTTTAGGGAGCTGTAGGACGAGCGCGAAGAAAATATATCGTCAGTCCTCCCTTCCCGCTTCCATTTTTTTCGGTTTACACTCGAATGGGTCTCGCGCAATGCACTTTGGGTTAAAGTATGTTTCGCAGCCCGCGTTTTCATCGTGAATTCCCGGGGAGATTCGCGGATCGATGCAATCGGAGGCAAGTAAGAACGGCCCTACGCGCTCCTGGCGGACCCGACGACTGAAATTATCATTTTAGCTGATATACTAGCTAATGTAAGGATGCAGTTTTATCTCTTATTATCATGGGAAACGAGATAAATCGCGATAGTGCCGTTTATTTTGACAGCGTGGAGGCAACTCGCGCGCCTCCCCATCGGCAATGTTCAACGCTGCGCGTTTTGTGTATCATCGCTCGGGTGGTTTTTCGTCTTTTGCACCTTGCCTGTGTCTACATAATCGCGCGTTCCCGAATTTCGTCGCATGGATTATACAATAAGATTGCGACAGAAACCAAACGCGCGAAAAGCCGCGCATTGTACCTCAAAGTCGTCTTCTTACATCTTCATCGTCTCAATCATTTTCAATCTATAATTAAGTGTATAAGTCAATTATATCCGTAATCCACATTTTGTGACGTTGCCGATTAATTAAAATCTCCAACTCGAAAATAAACTTGAATTAAAATAAAACACAGGTA